AAAAAAAAAAAAAAAAAAAAAAAAAAAGAGAGAGAGAAAATAAATAAATAAATAAATAAATAAATAAATAAAAGGATATGAGTAATTTCCAAAATAAAAGCTTTAAAGAACATATGTGATTTTGAGGATTACCATGTGCAAGAGGATTACTATCTGAGAGACAAAGAGAATAACAGATTACAGCACATTAAAGGGGAGTTGTTTTACATCAAAGGTGTAGTATGGTTACACATTTGATATAATACAAGGCCAGGGAGCCTTCTGTCACAGGGTTATTTGTAGCAAGGATCAGGGTGCCAGACAGTCAGGATTTAGTGTGAGCTTTCAAGAGAGAGACTCTTAACTTTTCTGATTTCAGCTCTGTATACCAGTGTTTAAAATACGCAAAGATATGTTTGCAGTCAGAAGTGAATTAACAACAACAATAATCAGCTTACAGATTCCTGTTCAGTGATATGCTGAAGAAAAAAAAAAAAAAAATCCCTCCAGAAATTTAGGTCAAATGTAAAAAGCCTACGTTTGGTTGGGGAGAACATCCAGCTGAATAATTACATGATTCTGTGGAAGGAATTTTTATTAAGCAGCCCAGCAAAATAGCCTCCTCTCCTTGGCAAAAGCCATATTTCAAATATTTATTTTTCTTCATCTTCTCTTGTAGATTTGTTTTCCTCAACTGATTACGGCAAAAATTTGGGGAAAAAATACTGTATGTTTACTTTTAAATTATTGTGTGGTATATTTTTAACATTAAGAAATTATATTTTCTAGTAAATTTTATATTAAAAAACGATGATCAGCATTACTATGGCAATGGATAGGTAGGGTCTAGCCCTAAGGACAGGAGCTTAATTCTCTTGCATCTTATTTTGCTTCCTCTGCCTGCAGATATAGCTTGTAACTCACTTGTTACAGCTTTGAGCCTTGAAGCTGTGACAGCATTCCTGTAAATAAGTTTGCAGCTGAATGGAAGTTCCACATTTTCTGTCCCAAGAGCAGAGCACAGCAATTCATTAACTCTGAACTACCAGCCAGCCACTTGACATAGCCCTGTATGTATCCCGACTCTCTTGGGACTGTGTCGGTAAGTTCCAGTAGTCATCAAATAAAGCATCCAGACACATTGCAGTAAGCCTACTGTTAGTGTAATTAAATAAATGCAGGGAGCATGCTAATAAGTCTTTGGCAGAGCAAGCCGTTCAGCAGCAGCGAAGGTTGGCAATCCACTTCTCAGTGTCCAGGTGATGTTCACCTGCAATGTAAGTGGCCCTTGGGGCGATGTTTGCCCAACATGCGTGCACTGTCCTTCCTGTCCACAGTGTGCAATACCAAGGAAACAGTATTTATGGTACACACATAATCTAGCAGGGTTTCCTGGTGCTGTGCCTGAGGAAGTAACAATAGCAGGCAAACACCAGAGGGAGTTAATGTTCTACTACAGATCTGTGAAAGGGACGCCTCGGGATACGGTGCTTTTAAATAGCGTGACTGTTTTCTAACCGAGTGAAAAGGCTCAGATGATACGGCTTTAGAAAAATGCAGATGGTGAAGCTATTCATTCTAGTGACGTTTGAAAGAGCTTGCATTCTTCACCTTTCTTCAGTGTTGACTCCAGTGTACTGGTGCTTTGTACCAAGGAGTTGCTACACAGCGTCCACCTACAGTCTAATAACTTTTCAAGGTACATTTGTAATACAAAACAGGTCAGTGTTCAGAGCCAGATGAGCAGGAAATAAGAAATAACCATTTTCAAATATTTATTAAATAAGTCTTTTCTCTTGGTTCATCCACACTTGCCCTATCCCATACCCCGTACCAGTGTCTATGGTGGTCAGGTCAATGGACTCTCAGAGTCCTGGTCCCAAGGAGTGCTGCATGCTGGAACAGGACCAGGATGCAACCATCTCCGCAGGTGTCCCAGTTTTCTGTGGAAGCAAATATGGGTACGTAGGTGGGAAAGAAACCAGTGGGATACTCATTGGAATTTTAAGGTTTTGGGGACTTTATATATGAGGACCCTATATACTTCTATCAAGCCTCATATATTTCTACCAAGAAAAAAAAAAAAAGATAAGAAAAAGTTGCAGGACTGTTCTCTGCAACACTAGATCACAGGTCTCAATCCTGCAGCTAGATCTCAAACAGCTGAGGCACACCACTGTTCTGCTTCTGCAACTTTGTCCCGTGACTGCAAAGGATCCTTACTTCAGTGCACCACGTGGTCTTGACCCAAAAGGCACAGTGCCAATACATAACTGCTCTGTGAGCCTCCAAGTGTTGTCAGCTTGCCGTGAGCTTCACCTGTAGCACACTATGGCTGTGCCTCTGCCCTTTCAGCAGCTAGACCTGTATTTTGACTCTGTGCCTGCTGAAAGCCAGAAACCCACAAAGCCTCAGATGGCGCACACCAGGAAAAGTCAGTCCCCTGTACTCTTCATATAGAGGCTCTTGTAACCCCTCAGTTTTCAGTAACTGATTGAAAGAAAATACACAAGCAGCCCCAAGGTGAATCTGTGCCAGTATTTTTTAGAAAAACATTCAAGCAAGCAAACTGACTCAACTCCATTATACTTTGCATAATGCTGGGGCAGATGGGAAGCTTCTGCAGTTTGCAGCTGAAATTCCAGGACAATGGACTAAAACTGAGACACACTCGCTGCTTTTTCCCCACATGAAATTAGTGCTTCTGCACTGACTGCTCTTAGTTTCTCTTATTTACAAGATGCTTAACTTTCCACAGCCAGTACACTGTTTCACCTGTAGATTATGAAGGAAAGAGCATCTCATTACACAATCCAGCTGTCTTTTCAGCAGCAAAGACTTCAAAGTTCGGTTCTGAAAAGGGTATGCTGTAAAAATCATCTTTGATAAGACATTTACTTATTTACTTCATTTAGAAAAAGCAGAGTAAATCCAGGCAGAGCCCGATGTTAAATTATATACCCCTGACTTTTACTGTGCTGCCACCCTTAAGGATTCTGCAACAAAGCGCTTTTTTTTTTTTTTTTTTTTTTAACATTCTTATTGCAGGTGTGTAGGTGTGTAAGCTGCAACAAAGACCAGCCTATTCCTTTTTCAGGTGCGTCAGCTTTCCAGAGCTTACCATCATAAAAAGAGGATCTTGGCATTGTTATAATGGTGAACAGAGAAGATGCTTAATACATTCACATTGTTGACACAGTAGAGATCTTTTTAAAAGATCTGGTTGTTATTAGAGGTTGGTATTTAATTTTTGATTCATTAAAGCAGAAGCATACACAAATTATCAGGCAGTAAATCTTTTTCTTCCAATAGGTAAAAAGAACCCTAAGAGAAGTAGAAACAAATCCTCATCTTAATTATACCAACATAAATGTACAGGAGAAATGTATGTAGGTAATTGATGATGTGCATAGGTGCCTGGTAAACTTCACAGAAAGTCCTACACAGACCAAATGTTTAAGTAGGTTTGCTTATGTAAAGGTATTTAAATATCAGTATTGCTGTGAATTCAGGCCTGATTCCCTAGCTAGAAGGTAATACATTGCTCCTAATTGTGAAGGTATAAATCAGTGTACAGATTTCAAAGTACCCACAATATGAAGAGAAGTAAGGGTTACATATGAAGGCCAACTTCACCTTAGGAAAGCAAATTTTCCTCAGCTGTTTCCATAGCCAGTGAAAAGACAGGCACCTAATGTTAGGCTGTAGTGACAGCACGCTGTATTCAGAAGCAGTACTGTCATACAGTGTCTGTGTCCCTATTTCACAGCTTACTGCTCCCTCCAGCTCTGCTGATACAGCTGCTTTCTGGAGCTGTGCTGTGAATCTGGCTTTTAAAAAAATAGCCAAGGGAAAGGTAGAAAAGCCTGAATTTGAAAGATGAGATGTGAGTCATGTACCTGATCTGGCTGGCAGAACCCTCCAACAGCTGTGCTTTGGTACAAGTGGGGATGTAGCAATGCAGAAGTAGCAATGCACAAGTACCTGCATTAGTACTACCATGGAAAACAGCTACCATCAAACCTTGACCTTAGTAAGTGCTCTGAAAGGAGCTGAAAGGAGCTACTGTGAACCTTCCCTTCATTGTGGACTTTTTCACCACAGACATTTAAACATTTCCACGTGACATTTCCATGTGAGGCTAAAACATTTCTGTGTGACTTGCCCACAGCTCCCAAATAGTGCAGGTGTTTCTTCTGCAACAGACTTGTGGCACTGTGATGAAGAGAAATGATACTTTTTTGTAAAGTAGCTTTTATGATGAATCTTACTGGCTGGCCTGGAGAAAGTTGGCTTGCTAGGGAATATAGAGTATCTGCACAAGAGCTCATAGGTTTAACCAATGTCCTTCATTGATTACTGATACCCCAAAGAAGCTGACAATAACCTATTGTCATGACTCAAAACACAGAAACATGGTGAATATCCCTTAAGACTAAAACTCAATCGCAAACACAGGAGCTCGGTCACTGATCTGTTGTGCTGTATCTATTGGTGCATGACAGAAAGAACAGAAACTCACATGGGTACATGAAAAAAAAAAAAAAAAAAGCTAGATATAGCACAGAAAACCTCAGGGCATGACACTGGGGTGTGAGGGTGGGAGATATGGAGTGACTATTTTTGGTTAAGTTATGTGCTGACAGCAGCTTAGATTTGCAAGATAGAAATCTTTCTCCTACTCTTCCAGGCTTGAAGGAAGTCAGACTCCCTTTATTCTTTGTTAAAAAAGGGGTGTAGAGATTGATGCTTACTCCATCACTACAGTCCTTTCCCAGCAATAACAACCATCTAACCCGAAACTGACTAGCATCTCAAGTCAAAAAAGGAATTAGCAGTACAGTGTTTTTGGATGAGGCAGACATGAAGGAAGGTGACATGCTTTTGAATGTAACGTTTACTAATCAGATAAACATACCTGTGGAAATGACAAGGCATCTAAATTGTTTGAACAATAGTATTTGTGTAAAACCAGGGCGCACTGCAAACAGTGTATTCAAAAGAAATCATTGTGATATTACCTTAAAGCTCAGGTTTTGCCAGGCAACGTGTACAGCCAGCAGACAAGGCATTTGTAATGGGAAGAATCATTTCTCACTCGGATCTTTCAGGATCGGTGTCTGTGAAAATAAATCCCACACCTGAGGGATAAGAACAAGGATAAAAAGGTCAGATTGCCCTTGGGAAAATATGGCTTGCAATGCTCTTATAGTTCTTCTTCTTTAATAACACGTTTTTAGAAACCCGTGTTTTTGAATGCCTACTTTGAACAGTGCCTACCCTTTGTATCTCTTTCATAAGGCCTTATCCCCTACAGTAAAGTGAACTTCAGTCACAGCAGCATGTGCCTGCAAATGTCAGACTGCAAAAGAGAAGCACTGGACAACAGTCCCAATGGCAACATGGAGACTGATTTCCAGGGGTGAAACTCTTGAATGACATTTGTCTCTATGACCAGCTTATTCATTTCCTTCATTTCTGTCTTATGTCTTTACATCAAGATATTGGGACACTTCATTTGATGTTTGTCATCTTTAGAAACTGTAGCCTTACCAAAAGTATATACCTCATCGATACGAAATACGGTGTCTCTTACACCACATTTACCCTAACTCAGCCATTTACAAGGTAGTGTGACATCTTATTTGAAAGAGTTTACGTATCAGTTAGAAGCTCAGCACTCCTTTATGTCCCCTGACTGGTTTATTCCTCTAATGTTAATAAAGGATGTTTGGGTGGAAAGTTTACCTGACTGGAGCCTGACTTAGAGCCTGGTGTAATTTTATCACTGCTGGCCTGTCAGCCTTAGTCACTGAAGCATTTAATCAATACCTACCAATGCTGAGCTGTTAGGATGCTGTCATCCCTGTTACTAGACTCCTTAGTTTCTTTTTTTCTTTTCTTTTTTTTTTTTTCCAGCTGAATTTGCATCAGAAAAGTTACATAGGCATCAACCCAGGATTTGTGCAAGGCTGCTAACTGAAAGCATGTCCAGGTTAGCTGAGAGCAGCCCCAGAGGTGGTTCTGCTTTGTCTCTGCCGTATCCTGTCTGATCTGTCACTCATTGGAACACAGATCCGTGCTGGGTCATTTTGGGGACTCAAAATATGTCTAGCCTTGTTTGCCAAATTGGAGAAGCCAAGGTCTAAGCAGTCCTTCTTGAATACAGTCTTACTTCCACTCTCTGGAATTTATTTCTCATCTGCTCTGGTGTGGGCTAGAGGAAAGAAAAAATGCAAGCAGAATGCACTTCTGAAAATAAGTGTGAGGGATATTTTCATGGTAAGGTGGTGGGACAGTGCATTAATGACCTCTGTTTCGTTCAGTCTGTTTTCCTTCATCCCTACAATGACACACAAAACACCCACACTCAAGAACACTGCGTGATTCTTATTAAAGTCTGTCCTCAGCCAAGCCTCTACTTGACAGTTCTCATGTTTTGCAGGGATTATTTCGGGGGACAGCCAGGGCAAAAACAACAGTCTGAAGCTATTTGTATAGACACAGATGTATATTCCTGGGCTAGCATTTCCCTGCCTGACCTCAGGAAGACGTGATGAAACCCAGCACTAGCAGCTGAGCCAGTGAGGCTCTTTGAACCGATAACCGTGGCATGTTCTGTGATGTGGTTTGCCTGGAAACCTATTTGTTTCTTTTGAAAAGCTAAAATACCAGAATGACATCAGTTGTAGTGTGCGCTGAAAAGCCTAGGCTGAGATGGCAGACTGTTTTATTCTTAAATGATTGCAGATGTTTGGGTGACGGCTGCAAAACATGAGGCTTTTCGATTGTGTACATGTGGGGAATGAAACCAGGGACGTATATAAACATGAACATATTTGTTATATACTACAGCCAGTCAGCTGATCACATTTCAGATTGACAGTTATTGAAGATGTGCAAAAATCAGTGGAAACTATGATAGCTACAATACATCTGGTTTAGTGAGGTTTGTTTTTTTGTTTTGTTCTGTTTTTTGTTTTTTGTTTTTTTTTCGTATTTCAGAGTATATAGGTTTACCTCCCTTTGTCTGATGCCGGTTGCATATGAGACATACAGAACTGTTAGTAGTCTGAGGAGGAGGCTTAGGAGATATGCTGCTGCTGTTTTTTATTACCACCAGATTGCAAAAACATATATCCTGAGCTAGTTTTCTAGCAGGCTAACTCTCAGCTCTATATCCCAGGAGCCCACTATGCTAAGTTAGATCTGGCTGGTACCAATTTAGGAACTTCTCTAAGTGTGTGATGCCCTTTAAGTGACTGAGTAATTTGCCAGAGTCGTGGGCATGGGAAAAGGATAGGAAGAGTTACTAGCTGAAGAATTTATAGGCATTAAGTCTCCCTCCTGAACTCCAAATCTGGGCTGTTTGGATTTAATTCCAGAAGGAAGGTCCTTATACCTCCTGCTGGTGCCGTATCAACAGGGGGAGTGAGAGGGACTGTTGGAGTCTGTGGTCACCTTCTTCCCACCCATAGGAGAGTCCAAGACATTGTGTGCCTTCAGCTTCAAAAGGCCAGTGGCAAGCAAAATCTGTCATGGTAAAATGGGTTTTGTGTCATCTCATTGGGCCAAATTCTAGCTTATTAATACCTTGTCACATGATAATTCTGACGTGTCCTCACACTGACTTGTCACAGCTTAACCCTCTATGCAGCTGTTGAGAGTGAGTGAAAAGGGGGTTGCTGCTGTATCCTTCCAGTTGTTCTTCAGTGCTATCACTAGTTATGCTAGTGGTAATTTCCTTTAAACCCAGCTGACATTTCTGCAGCTTGTGTGTTTATTACTGATGATAAAGCAAAAATGATGCTTCAATTATTTACACAGCAGAAAATCTCATCTTTTAGTTCTCTTAAAAATTCAAGTGTCAACTACCTAATCAAAGCTATCCTTTTTAACAAACTTCTTTGCTTTTTTTTTTTTTTTTTTTCAAAATGCACAGCTAGAAGATGGAAAACATGTATTTTGTGATCCATGTTGTTCTTTTCCATTTGACAAACATTTTATTTTATACAGTTTCCACATCTGCAAGTGTCTCCTGCTTACACCTCTGTCTTTGCATGAGTCAATGTCATCAGCAATAAGGCAAACAATTACAGGTCGGAAAAATGCAGTGAGGGAGTCATACAGATGGTATATTGATTTGTGTGCCAAGAAAACTGACATTGAATTGCACATGGCTAGGGAAGGACGTTCACTGTTTTTATGAAACACATGCAAAATTATTTAGACGTCTTGATGGTACTATATGGGTTCAAGAAGCAGCTGTGCAAATGAGCAAAAGAAAAATCCACTAAGGGCTATCAGTTCCAAAGGATACTGCATAAGACTACAGAAATCGCTAAGCTGGAGGTCACTGGAGCTGGGAGAGTGGCTGGGAGAGAGAGAACAGTGTTGCCTTGTTCTAGTAGCAAGCAGTCTTCTATTGCCCCTGTCAGAGATGGTGGTAGCGAGGTGGAGCTTGGGCTGCTCTTAGTGTCGCAGTGAGCAAAACAGCTTCTTAAAATTGATGGTAATTCTTATTGTCAGCGCGAGTTTACTCCAGCTATGAGTTCCCTCAATGCATGTTGACCTATTTTCAAGTAATTGCACACAAGTGAGACACTGTCTCAAGTGAAAAAAAAAACATCAGGTTTCAGGTGCATTGGTTGAATAAGAACTCTGCAGAAGTGTGTGCTGGAAGGCAAAAATAACCGATAATTTCCAAACTTGTAGTTCTTACTCTGTGGTTTGTTCCTTTCTCAATTCACCCAATTTCATTAATGAGTTTGTGTTTAAAATGTTTTCTCAAATGTAGCAATATCTGATAGGTTCAGTAAAGCTTAGCAGTGGGAGGGAAAGCACAAAATCCTTGCAGGATCTGTTCACATGAAAAGCAGCAGGCAGCATCATGGGTTGAAATGGGTGCCCCAAGTGGCACCAGGGATTAAGGCCTTCATCCAGAGCAAGCTGAAGTCACTGTGATAATGGCTGGAGAGAGAACCTGACCCAAATATGAAGGCTCCAGCTGAGTTCAGAACAGCTGGACACAGTTAAAACAGCACACCTAGTGAGATGGCTTTTGCATCTCACGGTGTTAAGCTGTGACCTGGGGAACAGAACTAATACAGAGCCAAAAAGTATATCTTGCTGGGGATCCTGCTTAAGAGAAGCCGCCACTACCGTGCAAATAATATTGATACAGAGCAGCAAGTACCCGATGGCAAGGTGGAAACATGACTGAGGGAACAGAAGTGCTTGGTTGCATTAACTTCATAGAACCATCCAGGCTCAAGCCTGTACTTTTGCCTGTCTTGCAAAGTGGCCTTCTCAGTATTGACAGTGAGCACCAAAAGGAAGGGGAAGGGACAGTGTAAAAGCTGTTGTGTTTCAGAGGTGATAGAGTGGATCGTGTAACATTATATAATGTAAAAATATTTGATTCAGAATCATTAGAAATTGAATGTATCATGTTTCTGTGTTTAACGCAGTGAGATTTTCAAATCCTGGCTGAGGCTGGGGAAAAGATGTGGGGCTGGGTTACATCCAAGCAGAATTTACCTGCAGTGTTGGAGGTAGTCACGTTGTGCTGGTAAGGACAAAAGCCCTGCTGGTTCTCAGGGAAACTCTGTATAGTCTGGTCATTCTGGTCAGAGAGCTGAGAAACACAGCTGCCTTCATGTTCCCCTTTCTCAGGCAACACCACAAATGAAACAGGCTGGCCTCCACTGTACTGAAAATAGCTGACTATTGTTTTGAAACAGCTCGTTCCTTAATAAGTTCTGTCTTGTTGGCATCATTTAAGATATAGGTCTGGAAGCCATACTCCTATTTGCATCTGCTGGTCACAACACCATAAGAAAATCTGGGAGAGGGTTTGCTTGGCCAAGGTGCTATGCTGAGATAGCAATGCAGCTGTGGAGCCAATGGGTTTAATTCACCAGTACACACGAGGGGTTTTTATGAGGCTTTGCAAGATGTAATCCAGAGGACCTCACGGTTTCTTTTCTTTTCTTTTTTCTTTTTTTTTTCCCCTTTCCCTGAACGAGAAGATTATTCCAGACTGAGGCCCTCGTAGCATATGTTTTCTGCAGAGCCAGTGATAATAGCAACATTTCAGCGAGGTCCCTGTATGAGTTACGTCACTTGTTTTTTTGACTCG